AATAGTGGGAATGAAACCCTTTCCCCCTGAATTCTTGCGGAACTGCTTTGACTGCACCGATAGCAGAAGATGACGGATCTCTGACTCGAGCAAATGCTCATGAGATGGGTCCCTGAAAAGGGACGGGTTTGGGGGGGTTGTAGGTGGGATGGACAGGAAGGGGATAGAGCAACCAGTTCTTATTATTTCTAGAACCCATCTGTCATTGGTGATGTGTGCCCAGTGGTTATAAAATGGGCGTAGGCGATGTAGAAACAGCAAGGTGGTGAGGGATGAGACTGGTTGAGTGCTCCTGACCAAGAAGTCAAACTTCTGGTTGCGACGTCTTGGGAGTCATTGGCGTTGTCGGGAGTTGTCTAATGGTCTTTGTTATTGTTGCTGATGCCATGGTTGTCTCTGGTGATAATAGTCATAACGCCTCTGGAATGGGGTATATCGACGCCGCCTGAATGGCGGAGTATACATCCCCAGAGTGCGTAACGTGGATCTGGTATCTTTACTGGAATGCAACAAGGTATCGGTTTTCTCTGCAAACAAATTGTCCTTTTCAAAAGGCAGATCCTCCACCTTTGATTGCAGTTCTCTAGGAACTGCTGCTGCCTGTAGGAATGAGGCTCTTCTTAAGACCACTGTAGCAGTGGCCCTAGTCGCAGTGTCTGCCACATCAGCCGCTATTTGTAGTCTGGTTCTCGTGGAGGCGTATCCTTCCTGCACCAATGCCTTCAGGATGGGTCTCTTTGATTCAGGCAAGCATTCCATGACGGTTGAAAATTTAGAATAATTGTCAAAATTGTGATTTGACAAATGAGCCAAATAGTTGGCTATGCGAAGGAGGAGTGTTGCTGACGTATACACTTTCCTCCCAAAGAGATCAAGTCTTTTTGAGTCCTTATCTGAGGACTGGCTCCTGTACTGTGGAGCACATGCTCGTTGTCTGGCCGCATCAACCATCAAGGAGTTGGGCAATGGATGTGTAAAAAGTAACTCTGAGCCTTTGGGCGGCACAAAGTATTTCTTGTCCGCCTTCTTATTTGTGGGTGGAACCGATGCAGGGTTAGCCCAGAGTTCATTGGCGACTTCCAAAATTGCCTCATCAAGAGGAATGGCCAATTTAGGAGGTTGAGAGGTTTCCAAATTCTTGAAAAGTTTATGGTGCTTACCCTGAACCTCAGTGAGTTGGATGTTCTGAGATAGGGCAACCCTTTTAAATAATTCTTGAAATTGTCTAATGTCATCCGGGGGCAAAATGTCTCCTGGTATCACCGCCTCATCTGGTGAAGAGGATGAAGGGTCCGCCGATGACACTTGGGGTTGGTATGATTGCTAAAAGCATTGGTTTTCCTCAGTATGGGAAGGGGGAGGTAGTGTCGAACGGGGAATATGCACAGCCGGTGGATTGGTGGCTGGAGAGTAACATAGAGATGAGTCACCCATCCTAGTAGGTGACCTGGAAGATCGGTGGTACGCACGACTATACGGTGAATGTGATCTATAGTAAGTGCATTTGTCATATGGGTCCCTGTAGCAGTATGAGGATTGTGATGGCAAGCGGTCATAATGATGCAACCTGCTATATGATCTTCTATATGAGTAGCTGGGAGACAATGGAGGTAAGACCTTTGGCTTAACAGAGACGGAGATGCCGAAAAATGGTGGTGCCGAGAGTAGTGGGTCGCTCTGTGCCCGGGGTCCCTGGCGGAGTTAAGAAGGGCGATGGCAGGCGTTCCATAGAAGGGAACCTCATTGGTGGTGACCTCCTTGGTGACTGAAGTGGGGGAGGCGAGGAGGGGTTAGGAGAGAACACTGGGGACGGGGAGCGTGGGGGTGGGCTCCTTAGTCGTCTTGTCTTAGCCACAGCCTTTCTGGGCTGTGGTTGTGTCAGTGCCAGTATCGGCACCGAGTCTTCTGGTCTATGTGGAGGTGTGGAGTCTGGTGCCGTCAGCGGTGCCGGTGGTACCACAATCGGTGCGCGATCAGCCGATAGGCGCAGTGCCGCTTGATTGTCGGTGCCACCCGGCACTGGGCTCGCCAGTGTTGGTGCCGCCCGTTATGTTGCCGGTGCGGATGGTGCCGGCGCGGTATGTGCAGAAATTGCCGGTGCCGTAGACCTCAGTGCCGTTGAATGACCGACTTTCGGCACCAAGAGTCTGGATTTTGCCGCTTTAGATGGGGCTGGCCATGACTTAGGCAAGCCAGAAGTGCCCAGTTTGGAGCTGACACTCGATCTGCTTTGCGAAGTGGCAGGCAGAGAGTGAGCTGGAGACGGCTTGGTCTTTTTAGGAGGCACAGCAATAGGAGAAGAAGCCCTGCGCTTTTGCGGCTCTGGTGAGGGCTGTGCCGTGGAGGCGAGGTCCTGAGGCTGTAAAGCTTTATCAAAAAGCATCATCCCAAGCCTCATTTCCCTATCGCATCTAGCTCTTGAAGTGAGCTTGGAGCAGTAGAGGCACCTTTGTGGGACATGTCCCTCCCCAAAACTTCGAATGCAGGAGGAGTGACCATCAGAGGCAGGCATAGCCTCTCAGCAAGCCTCACTTTTTTTAAACCCCGGGGAGCCGGGCATTGTTGTATTCAATCAGTTGTGCAGTTAAGAACAAAAAACAGATTTTTTTTTTTTAAACAGGAAAGGTTCAACTGGGAGAAAAATTCCAACCAGAACTTAAGGTAAGAACAAGAACTATAGTTCTTAAACTGAAGAGTTATGAAGAAAAAAACTACTTTTTTGTTTTTTAAGAGTAAAAGGACTCGAACGGGGGAGATAAGCAAGAGAGAGAGATCAAATTATAACTATTAACAAGCCTGAATTCATCGTTTTGAAGAGAACCAGGGAGAAGCTCGTTGTTCCGTCTGCAGCCAGAGGCGGTTAAAGAGGAACTGGCTCAGACCGGACCGAGCAGCACAAAAGGGCGCGAAAGCCACAAGACGCTCTCCACGCATGTGTGGTCTGGCCAGACTACTGCTGCAAAAATCTCCATCCTGCGGCGCCGGGGCAAGCCCAGCACCTACAGTGGAGCATCCACGGGGACTCCTCGAAGAAGAATCCCTGTTTTAAATCCATTCTCATCAGGCAAAATACTTCTGGGGGGAGGGGAGAAAGAATGAATTGGGACTTTCTGAATCTTAAGAGTTTCCTAACCATTGGGATAACAGTTTTCAGGGTAAAAACTTAAAAACCAACAATGGTCCTATAGCACCTTAGAGACTAACCAAAAAACACAGGCCGTTATATTCAACACCCAGATTATATCAAAAGCTAAGTATTGGGCACTTACAGCCTACTCTAATAGCCTAATTTAAAATGGACACTTTAATTGACAGGGTTTTTTTCTCCTCCCTGTCTCTTGCACCATATTTGTTATCTGAAGAAGTGGGCTGTGCCCACGAAATCTCATGATACAATCTATGTATTTTTTGGTTAGTCTTCTAAGGTGCTATAGGACCATTGTTGGTTTTTAAGTTTCTTTAGTTAGAGTGTGTCTACGCAGCAAAGTTATTTCAGAATAATGGCCATTATTCTGAAATAACTATATGAGAGTCTACACCGCAATTCCGTTATTTTAAAATAATTTTAAAATAATGGACACCTTATTCTGACTTCTGTAAACCTTGTTCTATGGAGAATAACACTTATATAGGTGTTAGCTTTTTCGAAATAAAGTGTTTGTAGAGGCTTCAGTTCTGCTATTTTGAAATAGCCCCTTACCAAGGCCATTCTAATGTATTCCTTCCCAGTGCCTCCTGGGGCTCTAAATCAAAATAGCACATCTGCATTAGAAAAGCCCGCCTCGGACTAACTTTGAGGCTTCCCTGCAGTATAGATGTGCTATTTTGAAATATGCAATTTCAGAATAACTATTCCTGAATAGCTTATTCTGAAATAACTGTGCAGTGTAGACGTAGCCTCACAAACTAACACGGCTACCCCTCAGAGTTCTCAGGGGGCACAGCTACACAGCAGGGCTAAACTCAAAGTAAGCTATGCAACTTGATATACACTAATTACGTAGCTTAAGTCAAAACAGCTTATTTCAACTTTTGGTGCTGTCTACACAGCAGTTATTTCGAGATAGAGCACTCTTCCCCCGACTTCCCTTACTCCCCGCACAATGAGGGTTACAGGACTCAGAGTAAGTAGTCCTCCAGCTCAACATTATTTTGACATTATGTCAAAATAAATGCTTGTGGGTAGATGTGGACTGTGTTATTCTGGAATAATGTCAGTTATTCCGAAACAACGCTGATGTGTAGACGTAGCCAGGGAAGTTTCGTCCCACAGTTGTATTATATGCAGATATGTATGCATCACTCCCTTTCTTGCAAGAAATGGCTTAAGCACCTGACTCCAAAAGAAGGTTCTCAGCTGTGAATCATAAATGGAGATAGGTGCTAAACTCTGAGAAGGGTGGGACTTTGGATCCACCTCACCTTCAGCATCTACTATTGACTTGTTTAGTAATCTCTCTGTCCAGTGTGCCAGCTTCTGTGAATCCTATTCTTTCCCCCTGTATTGTATAAGGAGATGAGATACCTAACTCAGTAATTATGTAGTGTATCACTGAGCATTGTAACATGTAAGCTGTTTTGTGATTCTAGCCTTTAGTTTCTAGTGATTCTATCTTGAATTTATATAGAATAACAGTATGATCTAGATGGCTGCACTAAGATGGAATGTACTATTTTGCATAAGCTTCTCTTTAGAGCTCTGCATATATATTCCTACAAAGCTAAAGGCCCCAAATTTCTTTTTTTACTGAACAGAAAATGAAGTGGTACCATTGGTAAAATATTATTAAAGACTAGAGCAAAGATGACATCAGGAAAAGGGTTCATGCAAAATAGTGTGCCTGAATAACTTCTTCAAATAAAGTAAATATTGAATTTTATTTACATTTTTGTGTGATTTTCAAATCAATTTGTTATTTTCATGTTGTAGAAGTCAACTGGAGAATGTGCTTTATGCCTCATGATGTACAGAATCTGTGCCAAAAAAAGTTAATACTTACAAATGCAGAAACTTTGAAGATAGTGGATGTAATAATTATTTCCTTTGTTTCAGGATCCTTTTGAACACTGAAATACGGAGAAATAACCCATATTTAACACCAGCAATGAGAGAGAGAGAGACAGACAGATACACAAATAGACCTTGTAAATATTTACTAAATTAATTGCAAACGTATACATTATGTTCTTGCTCAAATCTATGAAGGGAAATTTAGTGGTCAGGACTTTATCCATGTCATCTCAACCTTTGAAATCTACACTATCCATGGCTAGAAACAGCAACATGTTCTTAGACATTATTTATTTTTTTAAAAATTGAGGCTAGTTTCTCCTTTCCATCTGTTAAATTACAACTGCATTCTAGAGTCACAGTAATGACTCCAAATTATGGTTGCAAAACAACTGTCAAGGTTATAAGAGATGCACCTTTGTCTCTTAGCTAATTGCAGGCAGTCCCCGAGTTACGCGGATCCGACTTATGTCGGATCCGCAGTTACGAACGGGGCTTTTCTCGCCCCGGAGGACGGGAGCGGTGGGACGCCCAGATGCGCCGTGGTCCCGCCGCCCGCGTCCTCCGGGGCGAGAAAAGCTGCTCCCTCCCCCCCAGCAGACCAGGGAGACGCGGAGCAAAGCTGCTCTGCCCCGGGTTGCTCTGCCCCGGGCTTCCTGGATTCAGCCGCTGATCAGTTTCAGCAGTGGCTGACTTGGGGACACCTGGGGTAGAGCAGCTGGGGTGCTGCCGGGTTGGTCCCCACAGCACTGAGGTGCGGCGCTGCAGAGACCTACCTGGCAGTGCTCCAGCTGTTCTGTCCCAGGCGTCCAAATTCAGCCTCTGTTGAAACTGATCAGCGGCTGGTTCCAGGCAGAGCATGGCATAGTCAGCCGCTGGTCAGTTTCAGCAGCGGCTGAATCTGGACACCAGTTCCAACTTACATACAAATTCAACTTAAGAACAAACCTACAGTCCCTATCTTGTACGTAACCCGGGTACTGCCTGTAATATTTTTAATCTCATGTATTTAGAAGAATTTCAAAGTAAAAAAGGTGATTCTTACAAGGATGCAACCCCTCTCACCAAGAGATGTAGACATCCATCCATCCATTTATAATTGAAGTTGTATATATATTTAATGCGCTTTTCAATGAGGAATGTTTTGTATATAGCTATGCAAGGGTGTATCTTTCCAGTGGAGTAATATATTCTACAGTGGTGTTATTTTAAAATGTACTAACATATTGCAGGGTCTACACCAACCAGTTAATATGAAACACATTAATTCACATTAAATATAATACCCCCATAGAGTGCATTACCCCACTAGGTAAACAAGCCCTAGCTTAGGAACATTTTCTGTTTATTGAACCTTTGCATTTCTAAGCTACCTACCTATTTGTTGTGAAACTGTCCATTTCCTCAGTTACAATATCTGTAGACATCCCAGTGCTTTTCTTCACCATTATAAATTGTATATGGTTTTCTTATTTTTATATTAAGACATATTTTTTACATTTCTTCAGAAATCAGATAATATAGCCTCTATTAATTGTCACTAGTTCCACATAATTTTATTTACATTAACTCATTATGGTACATTTGAGTCTTGTATATTCCATAGTGCATAGAGTTCTGAGAAATATGTTAACTCACAAAATGCTTTATCATGAAGAAGCTTAGTTTCTGCGACAGATTCCACTGCAGTCTAATAACTAATTAGGTGATTCAAACGGCATCTATTTTTCACTTAATTGTTAAATTAGGAAACTTTCATATTAAATAAATGGCCATTTTAACTACAGTATATCTATTTTCCTTTTTATAAAAGAGAAACCTCTTCACTGTTTCAGACTTAGGGTACATCTACACTGCACGGCTATTTCAGGATACCAGAGGTATCCCACAATAGCTACCCCATGTTGATACAAGCTGCCCATTATTTCAAAATATTTTTCAAAATAACGGGCGCACTGTTTTGTCATCCCAGTAAACCTCATTGCACGAGACATAAGGAATGGCTCAAAATAGTGCTTTAATTCAAAATTTGGTGCTGTGTAGACACACCAAATTTCAAAATAAGCTATTTCTAAATAGATTTGAAACAAGATACTCAATCTGTGTAGCACAAATTGTGTATCTTATTTCAAGTTTAACATGCTGTATAGATGCACCCTTACTTTGAGCTCTATTAATACCCCTCTATCACCATTACATTTTACTGTTTTCTATACACAAAAGAGCAACCCTATGCTTTCAGGTAAATTTAGTTTCAACCAAGAAAATAAACAACAACAAAAGAACAAATGTGAAATCTCCATGAATGTGAGTACAATGTTCAAGAAACTATAACAGCTGCCATCTGAAGTGAAATTACACTCTAAAATGGAGATAGAAAAACTCATTAGAAATTTAAAGGTGCAATCCATGGAAAATACTTATAAATTAGGAAATCCTAACCACTAAATCTCTTGATAAATTGTGGTTTTAATTTTAAACAGGAAATGTTAATTAGAGATAATGAACAAAAGTATGTACATTATTTCACAGATATACTGAAGCAGCATTTAATTTATATGTGATATGAAAGTCTTCAGGTAAACCTAACCAAAACTATGCCATAAAGAAAGGAATCAAGTAGTAACTAGTCTCTGTAACAAATACAGGGAAATCCTGAGCAAAGGGACTGTAATTTTGACAGACACATGTGTGGGTAGAGATCCTTGCATCATGGCAGGGTAAAGATCCTTGCATGTTATTCCTCTCCCCCCATACCTGGGAGCACCTGTCACAGTCTAATCCAAAACATTGTATATTGGCCTACTTAATTTAGTCCAGTGTTTCTCAAAGCTGTCCATGAAACCACTTTGAGAAACCTGCTAACTGGCCATGTCGGTGTGTTTACTTACCAGCGCTGCAGCCACAGTGCCTAATGGCTCCCATTGGCTCCAGTTTACCGTTTGCAGTCAAAAGGAAATGTGGGAAGTAGCGTGGGCCAGGCCACCGCTTCCTGTGGCTGCAAACGACGAACTGGAGCCAACAGGAGCCGAGTGGCTCCATGGCCACAAGACTGGTAAGCAAACACACTTGAACTGCCACTTAGCAGGTTTCGTGGGCCACTTTGAGAAACATTGGTTTAGTCCATCAGAGCTACACTTGGGAATAAATGTTTCCTCTAATAGTAAAAAGGCTTATGGAAGAAACATTCCCAAGTTAATGATTACTTTGGTAGTAACTAATTCAATGTTCATAATGAATTCATGAAGAAATAAAAGATTTACCTAGCGTTGCTCAGGTCCTTAACTCACATACTTTTTTATTAATAAAAGGAAAATGTACTTTATTTAAATGATTGCAATTTTCAATATGAAGGTGTTATTTTTATGAAGTTAATTTTTATTTCTGATTTCTTTAAACAGTAATTGTTAAAATTTGTCTATTTAATTTTTTTAGTACACTATTTAAAATGGGAATTCCTTCAAGTGTATTTTTTGCTCTGATCTTTTAAAACTCTTATTGTTTGCTATGTTTCAACAAAAAAAAGTACTGTAGTCTTTTTGGTTTCCAGGAACATTGTCTTGTAGTTTTCAAACCTTTGCGTTGATTTAGCTGTGCAAAAGCAGAGCACTACTCCAAATTTCTCCATTTTATCTGTTTTCTGTAAGATTTATTGAGAAGCTATCCTATTCCAGTTTCATCCTAAATTTCTGGCTCACCTTAGTTCAGTCTCTTTCAACATTCGCTCATTTATATAAATTTTAAGGACCATATTTGATTTGGTGATTTTGTCTCTTTTCTGTTTGGCCTAATCAGCTGACATTTTGTGAACAAAATTGTGAAAAAATAGATGGCACTGTCACAGCTAAAGTTCTCAACATTGGGCTTAAGAGAAATGTTGAACACATGCTGAGTACACTGAAGCCTATTTCTGTAGTCTTGAACGAAATACAGGAAAATAGCTATTTTATTGCTGATGCTGTTGAAATTTGGAAGGAAATGGGTGAATTTCTGTTGGTGGAATCCATAGAAGGTCTTTTCAAGATGAGGAACACCTTGAGAATAAGGAAAGAAGGTAGAATGAAGGTAAGGGAATGAGAAGGAGCAAGGAAGAAGATGAAACATCAGGAAATGCTGTTAAGGAAACAAGTTGAGGTTTTAAAAGGTAAATAGTACAAAGGTAAGAGATTGGCATGAAAAAAATATGGCAGAATTAATGAAAGGGTGGAGAAATTTTGCCAAATAATTCCTTGTTTTAAAAAGTTTGCAAGATATCCTGATCAGAAAAAGATGTATGAAAAAAGAGAGAATAAGAAGAAGGGTTAAGGAGAGCTGGAGGTAAAGAAAATCCAGTTGAAGATAGCAGCACAGGAGTGTCTTAAAGAGTAGAAGAAAAGTTATTTGGAAGAAAGAGAACCGTTGAGAGGAAAAAGGAACAAAGACTGTGGAAGAACTAATTGTGGTCTCAGCACTTTGTCTAATGTCTTTCAACAGCATGGGAGTGGGAACAGCTGTAGTAAAATGCAGAGAGTAAGTTAAGGCTGAGGATTAGAACCGCAGACAGTATGTTGTGAGTGTGGAGTGAAGGATTTAACAGAAAAGAGAGGACAGAGTTTCTTTCATGTTAGCTCCTTTCTTGCTATGTTCAGTATTCCTAAAGTGCCCATATGAATACTCGGTACGGTACTACGGAAAGCATACAGCCAAGTCTACACTACTTAAGAAAACTGCTGGGATAGATGGAATATTGTAACTAGTTAAAGAAGCTTAATATGTAACTAGAGGGCTGTGCCCACTGCTCGCTGCACATGGCAACCCCCCAGTCGCACGGGGTAGGCAACCTCAGCTCCCCCCGATCCCCAGGGAGGGCCACGCCAGCCAGGGTCCCTTCTCCTTTCCCCCTCTGCCAGCCTGGGCCCCTTCGCCCTCACCAGTGTTCCCTCTAAGATTTTCCATCCATGAGCAGAGTGAGTTTTGTATTGTACATCAATAGTGAGGTCACATGCGCTTGTACAGATGTGTGCCATTGTGGTGCTCTCTCTCTCTACATATATATGTAAAATCATACACATATATATAGTTATGGAAGAAAAAAAATACTAAAACAAGGGTAATTAACAAGGTTCATGTTCCTGCACACACACACCCTGAGAACCACCCATCTTGGCACCCAGTCTCACTCCCACTGAGCCTTGCTCCCATCTCTCCTGCATCCATGGGCTTCCAAACCCCTGCACCCTTATCCTGTGCACCCTTTGCCACTAACTCTGCACTGTTCTCACTTTGTCCCTATCTTCTGCACAGTGCCCCCTTCATCCCAACCCCAGCACTTTCCTCCCAGCCCAATTCAATCAAAAAAAGTGTAGTAATTTGTAAAGCATAAAAAATGAATGGGAATTTGCTGGACCTGGGGAGGTCAATGCACCTGGGTCTCCACATTTCCTCCTGACTGCCACCTGGGGCTCTGCTCTCCTCATGGGGGAGGAAGGCTCCACTACCCCTCTATCTTCTCGCAGCTCTGCTGTCACCCAGGCCTCCTCCTTTCCCCCCAGACTCTGATGTTACCTGGGAGGCCTTGGCTCTGCTGCTGACAGGGTTTCTCTCCAGCGGTCCTGACTCCCATGCCCAGAGCTTTGTATTCCACACAACAGCCCCACTGCTGCCAGGGGCTCTCCCCTCTGGCTCTGTGCTTGGAGTTCTGCATTCTGCCCAGCAGCACTTCTGCAGCCCGGGACTCCCAGGCTCGGTTGTTTGATGGCTACACCCAGGCTGGGGCCACAGTGCTATTTTTAGCACCGTAGTCCCAGCCCAGAAGCAGCTGCACTGCAGCCCTGGCTGCAGTCCCAGCACACGGGGCGGTTGCTCACCAAGCAGCCCCGTCCCTAGAAGCAGCTGGGGCCACGGCTTCTGGAGTGTGGGCCATTGCACTAAAAATAGCTCCATGGCCCTGGTTCCAGTCCTGGCAAATGGGGCGGCCACCCGCCCCACCCCCAAGAGCAGTTGTGGCTATGGCTGCTATTTTTAGTACCACGGTCTGAGCCCCCACAGCCACCATGAGGCAGGAGCTCCAGGTGCTCTTGGGGGTAGAGCCGCATGGTGTGTGGCTATCCAGTGTGCCAAGGCTGCAGTGCTATTTTTAGTACTGTGGCCCAGGCTCCAGTTCCGGCAGCTGCCAAGTGGCCCTGCCCTCGGGAGCAGCTAGGATTGTGGCTATTTGGCTCTGTTGAGGAGGTGGGTAGGACTGAAATTTTTGGTGTGTGCCCATGCAGGCGCACACCTTAGAGAAAACCCTGGTTTTGGCATTCTCTCCCACCCCCATGCAACCTGCTTTCCTTCCACCTCTCAAACCCAGACAGACAGAGGCTACATCTACACTACATGCTTCTTGCGCAAGAGGCTGTTTTGTGCAAGAGTTTTTGCACAAAAACTTCTTGTGCAAGAGCATGTCCACACATGCTTTTGCACAAGAAAGCTCTGATTGACATTCACAGAATGTCAATCACATCACCTGTGCTTTTTCCCATAGGAGTTTCTTGCGCAAGAAACCTCTCTGGAGCATCCACACTTGCCTTCTTGTGCAATAGCTGTAGCACTAAAAGCAGTTATGCCTCAGAAAAGGAGGTTTACTTATGCCAGAAAAAGCCCTCTGTTCTGCTGTTTCACTGCCCATTTAATTGTGCAAGAGCTCACTTGAGGTGTGGACGCGCTGCAGGTTTTTGTGAAAAAAAACCCTTGGACTGTGTCTAGACTGCATCCCTTTTCCGTAAAAGGGATGCAAATTAGACATATTGCAATTGCAAATGAAACGGAGATTTAATTATAAAATAAAGCCTTTTCCGAAAGATCCCTTATCCCTCATTTTAAGAAAATAAAGCCTTTTCTGAAAGATCCCTTATCCCTCATTTTAAGAGAGGCTTTATTTTCGGAAAAGGCTTTATTCCGAAAGATCTGCGTCTAGACTGGCACTTTTTCCCAGCAAAGCTCCGAGCCAGAAAAAACAGGAGCCATTTTTATGCTAATGAAGCAGTTCATTTGCAATTGTGATATGTCTAATTTGCCTCTCTTTTACGGAAAAGGGATGCAGTCTAGACACAGCCTTGTAGTGTAGACATAGCCAGAGAAGATTGCAGCAAGTGAGTCAGGAGGACACGCCAAACTGCCCCCTGTCTCCATCTCACTGCCCAGATGCCAGCACTCAACCACCTCCTCTTTCCCCCACATACCCCATGCAATCAGCCCCTTACCGCCCTTCCCAGCCCTGGAGGCTTGAGGAGACTGTTGGGTTTCTGTCTCTCTCTCTGTCCTTGCACATGGGACTCTCCAAACTCCCCTCCCCTCTGATTTCCCCCACAAGCCAATTATTCTCTCCTCTTATCTTGCTTACCTGCTCTGGGAGCACCTCAGTTCAAGCATGTAGCTAGCTCTGTTTAGTTGCTGCTTAGATATGCCTCAGGAGCTCTGAACCTCTGAGCAGGACTCAAAAATAGCTGCATTGCCATGCAGGCACACAGTTTACAGGGGACTAAGTTAGTGTAAGTAGTCTGGATTTTTTAAATTTTGCAGAATAAATAACTATGAAACAAGATTTTTTAAATTATAATTGTCAACCTATATTCTATCACTGACAAACAGTATAAGCAGCAGTTGAAAAACAAAATGACATGAATATGGATTGGTTTCAAGCAAAATAGACAAGCTCTTCCATTCTCCAAACCAGGCAAGAATTTTCCTTTTAATCGATGATGTCAACTTAAGTAGGACCAGATTCTTACCTTTATTTAGTAGTATTTACTCAGCAAGAAGTCTCATTGATTTCATTATGACTATTTAAAGAGCCAGATGTGGAATATAATTTTTGATGGGGGGACACTACTAGATTTTGGAAAGTGGTCAAGGGTCACATTTTTCCATAATATTAATGGAGGAGGTGCGGGGTCTGGGATGGAGACTGGGTGCAGAAGAGGAATTGGGATGCAGGAGAGGGTGTGGGATATGGGAGGGAGTTTGGGCAAAGGAGGCAGTTATGACCTGGGGCACGAACTGGGGTGCAGGAGTTTGGGATGTGACCTAGGGCAGGAGAGGGTTGTGACCTAGGGCAGGGGACTGAGGTGCAGGAGGAGTACAGGAGTTTGGGTTGTGACCTAGGGCAGGATGGGGTTGTGACCTGGGGCAGAGGACTAAGGATGTTAACTAACAATTAATTTACTAGTAGATAGGCACTTCACATTCCCCTTTTGAAAAGTACAACAGCCCGCTGGGGCTTTTGTACATTTCAGAGGAGGAATGCGGAACTCCGCATTCAGCCTGGGGCCAGCGTGAAGTCCTGATGACTCCAGACTGCACGCAGGTGTGCCAGCTTTGAAATGTACAAGAGTCCCCAGTGGGGGTATTGTGCACTTCAAAATGGAAATGCCCACATAGAGCCTGGGGTCAGTGGGGAATTCAGAGTCCCCTGCTAATGCCGGGCTCCATGCTGCCGTGCCACTTTGAAATGCCATGCAGAACCTGGGGGTCAATTCCCAGGCTCCACGTGGCATTTCTGTGGAACCCAGGATCAGCTGGGAACTCCTTAGCTGACCCCAGGTTCCGCACAGCATTTCCCAGAAACCAGTGTCAGCTGAGGGGGCATTTCAAAGGGGCAGCGCCCGGGATCAGCTGTGCGGTGCTGCCGCTTTGATGTACCTCCTTCTTCCCCCCCCAACCCTTTGCTGCCTCTATCTGATAGTCGATATCTGATATTTTGCTTATCAGATAGTCGACTAGCCCTTAACATCCTTACAAAGGACTGGGGTGCAGGGGGCTCAGGTTGTGACCTTGGGCAGGGGATTGGGATGCAGGATCTGAGAGGGGATATGGATTCAGAAGGGGGCTCATGTGGGGTAGAGAGGCAGGAGTGGAGGGACAGAAGGTTGGGAAGTGGGAGGGGTTGGGGTGCCAGAGGCAGGGTCTGGCTGGGAGACTGACGTGTGTGACTCCCAGCCAGCAGCCCGGCACGTTTCTCAGGCAGCTCCCCTACCTGTCCCACTCCTGCACAGGCTGCAGGGGCCATGTGCATTGGTGAATAAGAGCCTGAGAACTATACTGCAAATATTGATAATGTGGCAAAAAGTTCCTGTATAAAAGAGCTGTCGCTGAAACTATTATTTTGCTAGCGAAACATCAATTTTTTGTTTCAGCTTATCTTTGATCTTGTCACACAAATTAAAAGTGTATTCATAACATTCAAAGAGCATGATTTTGAAAATGTGCGCATGCAATTCTACGCACAGCTGCACAGTAATATTTTGTAGGCCTTTCTGAAAATCTGATTCTAAATACAACAACCTTACCTTACAATATCTTTATATAAAGCCTTTGTAGTTTCTAAATATGGACCAAGCACATCTTCAAATTGACAGAGTGTTCCTCCAAGGCAAAGATGCTTAAAAAGACAGAAAAGAAACTCCTCACGATTTGACTGGCTGAATATATCAAAATGGTCAGAATCTTCCAGAAGCAAAACCTGGAAAGGGATAAAAAAAAGTGTCAATTTAATTTTCTAAAGTGAAATAAAAAAAATAATAACTTACAACAAAATAGTTACATTTAAGCACAGAGATCAACCAGTTATAAATTTCAATTATTTACATATAAAATATGGGAAACTGTTTGTCAGGTAAAAATCCTCTTCGGAGTGTTCAATTTGTATTTACATATTTTACATCTGAAAAATGCATTTATAGAATCATAGGATTGGAAGAGACCTTAAGAGGTCATGTAGTTCAGTCACTTGCACTCATAGCAGGACTAAGTATTAACTAGACCATCCCTGACAGGTGTTTATTTAACCTGCTCTTAAAAATCTCTGATGATAGAAATTCCACAACCTCCCTAGGCAATTTGTTCCAGTGCTTAACCACTTTGACAGTAGGAAATTTTTTCCTAGTGTCCTACATAACTTGCCCTGCTGCAATTTAAGCCCATTGCTTTTTGTTCTATTCTCAAATGTTAAGTAAAACAATTTTCCCCCTCCTCCTAACTTTTTATGTACTTGAAAACTATTATAATGTCCTCTCTCAGTCTTCACTTCTCCAGAGTAAACAAATCGGTTACGTCTAGATTGGATCCCTTTTTGGGAAAGGGATGCAAATTAGACGTATCGCAATTGCTAATGAAGCGGGGATTTAAATCTCCCCCACTTCGTTAGCATAAAAATGGCTGCCACTTTTTTTCGGCACAGAGCGTTGCCGGAGAAAAGCGTCAGTCTAGACGCGGATCTTTTGGAAAATAAAGCCTTTTCCGAAAGATCCCTTATCCCTTATCCCTCTTAAAATAAGGGATAAGGGATCTTTCGGAAAAGGCTTTATTTTCCGAAAGATCCGCGACTAGACTGGTGCTTTTTTCAGGCAAAGATCCGTGCCGAAAAAAGCGGCAGCCATTTTTATGCTAACGAAGCGGGGGAGATTTAAATCCCTGCTTCATTAGCAATTGCGATACCTCTAATTTGCATCCCTTTTCCGAAAAAGGGATGCAATCTAGACGTAGCTATCCAGTTTTTAAAATCTTTCCTCGTAAGTCATGTTTTGTAGACCTTTAATCATTTTTCTTGCTCTTTGGACCTTCTCCAATTTGTCCACATCTTTCCTGAAATGTGGTGCCCAGAACTGGTCACAATATTTTTTGTGTCTTGCTTACAACACTCTTGCTAATACATCTTAGAATGATGTTTCTTTTTTTTTTTTGCAACAGTGTTACTCTGTTGATTCATATTAAATTTGTGATGAACTATCACCCTCAGATCCCTTTCTAGACAATCATTTCCCATTTTGTATGTATACAAGTGATTGTTCCTTTCTAAATGTACTCAGCATTTGTCAATATTAAATTTCATCTGATTTACTTCAGACCATTTCTCCAGTTGGTCCAGATTATTTTGAATTTTAATCCTGCCCTCAAAAGCACTTGCATCTTTGTCTGCAAGCTTTATAAGTATATTTTCTATACCATTATCTAAATAATTGGTGATGATATTGAACAGAACTGGACCCAAAACTGATCTCTGAGAGACCCCATTAGATATACCTTTCCAACATGACTATGAACCACTGACAACTACTTTCTGGGAATTGTGAGCACAATTCTAAATAGTTATACCTCTAACTTTCAGATTTTTGTAAATGCTTTCTTATTCTAAGTAGTAGGGTACCTATACAACATACTAGTGAAATACTTAAAGTCTGGGAATTACTACTATGCTTTGGGGACAATAAATAGAAGTTTAGGATGCTACAGAGCTGTCAATTAGTATTGGTTTTGGTTTAGTAACAATGTGAAGTGGTTGATCCAATTATTTCATAAAGATCTTATAAAGAAGGGAACATAGCTAGCTGTGTAAGCACAAAACTGAGAGGCAAGAACTTCTGAATTCTAATGACCTATGTGGTCTTGAATAAGTCACATAACCTCTGATTCTACATTGGATCTGCCAATGGGGATGAATATGAAATTTTATTCACTTTAATGGGAATCTATGCAGGAACAGAGATCCATTCTAGTGCATACTGATATAGGATGTGGTCTCTGAAAAGTTTCTCTCAAAATGCCATCATGATATTTTGAGTGTTGCCTCTCATTTTTCATATTAAATGTTCTGAGTTTACAAATAATCATATGATGTATTAAACTTTCAGCCTGAAAACCAAACCTGGAATCTGAAATTCCGACTGAATTATTTCCTTTTCCTATATCTTCACTAGAAAAAACAATTTTGCAAGCCAAATTTTGCCATCAGTATTGCCTTTTCAATCTCATTGTCTTCAATGGATCTGAAAAGTGTAAATAAGTCTAAAGTTATGTTTGTATTACAATTACACAGTGAGTTGACATCCCCAAACCAGCTTTAATTTAGCTAGCTAGAGTCCCAGAGCAATGAAGCTTCAGCCACATATGCTTTATCATGGGCTGTACAAGCTCCCCCATTTGCCCATAGTGCTGAGCAATTATTTGCAAGGGCAAGCCGATGCTAAATGCCTGCTACCTCAGCCTCACTGCTCCAGGACCCAAGCTAGTTTGATTAAACTAATTCAGGCACTACCTGAGCTGCACTCACACCTTGTAATTGTCATATAGATTATCATCGAGGAAGATGAAGAGAAGCTAGCGAGAACGGTACAGGTGCTAAATGAGGAAGGGAAGTGTGGACTGATTATGAATATCGATGAAATTAAGACAATGGTATTTGGAGATAAGGAAATAGAAGGGAAGATCAGTGTAGATGGGATCGAACTAGAGAATGTAGAGAAGTTCAGATATTTAGGGAGCAACATGACATATGATCTAGACTGTAAGAAGGAAATAGCGACTACACTAGTGAAAGCAAGAGTGAGTTTGAAGACGATGAATAAGAGCTGGAAAAGTAAAGCGATTAGCTTAGGAACGAACCCGAGCATCTTGAAAACGTGTGTATTTAGCAGCATGGTGTATGGATGCGAGACCTGGGTGATAATGAAAGATTCGAAGGGAAGAATATTGGCGTTCAAGAGGAGCTGTTAGAGAAAGATCCTGAGAATAGGATGGACGCAGAAGGTCACCAACAAGGAATTATATAGGAAGATACAGCCGAAAGAGAACCTACTGCAGAAGGTTATACAATGGAAGCTATAGCTATTCGGACATATCTGCAGAATGAATGAGCAAAAGTTAAGACCCTGGTATTCAGCATAATGGATGGTCTGAATAGGAGAGGCAGACCACACAGAGAATGGGTAGATTACATAATAGATTGGCACGGAGCTAGTCTACAGAAACTAAGCCAGTCTGCACCGGACAGGGAAAGATGGAAGGAAACAGTGAGGGAGGCATCGGACACCAATGGGTACTGAACCCATGGTTGTTCATGCTGCTGCTGATTCTATATTCATAAGTACTTATATCAGCAGTGATGAACAAGAAAAAAGAGAATCCCATTCTCATACTCTTATCTGTGCTATCTCCGTGATTTTTCAACATAAAAGTGTGCTTTAACTTCTCTGCTACAGATGTAAAATAGGGATAATATTTATCTCACACAGGCTGTTCAGAGGATTAGTGATCTGACATTTGTCTCAAGATGAAAACTACTAAATATACTCTTAAGTACTATTAAGGTATAAAGGGAAACATTATATTTTAAAATAGTGCAAAGAAAAATAAGATATTTGCACTTAAAGGCACACTGTCATTTGAAATCTCTAACATTCAACACTGAATTAAATGTAGTTCCAAACTAAGGATGTTAAAGACTAGTTGACTATCCAATTAGCATTTGCTTATTGGATAGTTTTTTGACTAGTCTATAGGCACTAGAGCCCCTCTGGGGGCTCTTGTACATTTCGTGGAACTCCGCATACAGCCCGGGGCCAGCAGGAAGTCCCTCTGACTCTGGGCTGCACGTGGGTGCCTTCTTTGAAATGCACAAGAGTCCCCAGCGGGGGCTCCAGTGCATTTCAAAGCCATGGAGCCCAGGATCAGCTGGGAGCTTTGAGTCCCCTGCTGATGCTGCTGGGGACTCTTGTGCATTTCAAAGAAGGCACCTGCATCCAACCCAGAGTCAGTGGGACTTCCCGCCGGCCCTGGGCTGTACGCAGAGTTACGTATTCCTCATTTGAAATTTCAAAGGAGGAATGTGGACGTGCCTATCAATTAGTTGATGGAAATTTCATCGACTAGTCAATTAACCGCATTTTAACATCCTTACTCCAAACACTATACTGCTCCTGAATCCCCCTTCCAAGTTTTATGGTTTTACATACTATTCTATTCTTTTCTTTATTATTATTTAATATTTTCCTCTCCTTTGCTGAAATGCAAGAGTCTCTTCTTCTGAATACCCAAACACAGATATGCTCACAGGATGCAGTCATCCTATGACTTTGAAGGCCTCAAAAATTGTTGATACACTTCTGATTGTGACTAGAATGTCTCATCTCGAAAGAGTATCCCCTTGTAGGAGAGATGGGAAAGGAGAAGCTGCTAGTACCATTTCCTACATCTTTCATAAGAGGAATTAATTAGTCACTGATCTCTTCTGCGCAGAGTGGGGAGAAGTAGCTGTTATGTGTTCTCCTTCTCCAAAGAAAAAACAGGAATCAACTGAGATGAAGTCACTGTTACAATACTATATAGGAGTTGAGGTGTCTTGGTTGACTTCCCTCTCTTGTACAGCTGCAGATCACTCTGCTTGTAAATGGGAAAATACATGTATATCACCAGAAAAGCCACAGGATGGTATGAACTGACACAGGTATGAAAAACACTGTGAAATGTTTAAATGCTGTACTGACCTTTCTTAACTCATCTGAGATAGGAATGTCATGATAATAGTCATCATAACACTTAATAATATGGCCAGTTTCTCTTACAAGTCCTTCAGAATATAGTCGGTCAAAAAATGACATGGAAACTTGGGTACAGGGAACAACTATGGCTTCAATTTTTTTCACTTTGGTACCTGAAAAGTAACAGACAGTCACAAGTGAACGAAGCATGCAAAGAATTCCTCGCCACAAAACCATTTTGTAATATACGCAATTATGGCTAAAAATAAATAAACAAAAAGTACTGTAAACCATATTTAGTAGCTAACCATTTTCAGGAGAGACGTGTGCAAATAGCTGTAACAGAGATTTTATTTAGACTAGTTTCAGCCCTATACACTTTTACCTAAACAAATAAAGATGGTCATGGATATTCTTCAACAAGATATATGGCAGCTATATGAGGATACATGTAGAGCTAGGTCCCACCCTGGAATGTTTTCTTCTGCATGTCCAGTCCTAGAAGTTCTGAGGAGTAAACTCCAAATTTGAAGAAGCAGGGTGGAAAAGTCCATAGCTACTGCCAAGGTCACAGAAACTTAAAAAATGATTTTTAACATTTATATTGGTTTAACATTTAATGATTTATATTAGTTGAAATCTAGTATGCCATTTACGATATTTTGCCATTAACAACATTCAAAACATTCTGAAATGTTTCTTAGTTTATAGAAGAGTGTTTACCTTTTTAACCCATCCCAGATCATTGTTTTGTTATCCTTTTATGCTAGGAATGACACAGAAATCTATAAAACAAACGCAGAAGTACTGAAGTTTGCCAGTAACCTCTCTGCAATTGTTGGAAAATACAGAATACTACCAATAACTGAAATTTAGAATACAGTGCCTCAGCAGACCCACACCATAGTTACATACTACACTTAGGAAAAATAAATCAAAATTCTAAATAGAAAATAACTGGTTAGCTGTTGAAAAGAACCTGAGGCTTGTAGTGGATCACAAAGTGAAGAATGTGATGCAATTTCAAAAAAGTCTAATATATTTATGGGGTATATTAGCAGAAGTGTCATATGTACGAGTCAGGAGGTAATTGTTCTAATCTACTGCTCAGTCATAGGGTATGTCTACACTACCACCCTAGTTCAAACTAAGGTGGTTAATGTAGTCATTTGAAGTTGCAAATGAAGCCCGGGATTTAAATATCCCGGGCTTCATTTGCATCTTGCCGGGTGCCGCCATTTTTAAATCCCTATTAGTGCGGACTCCGTGCCCACGGCTACACGCGGCATGGAGTAGGTAGTTCAAATTAGGCTTTTAATTCGAACTACCGGTATACCTCGTTCTACGAGGAGTAATTAGAAAGCCTAATTCAAACTACCTACTCCGTGCCGCGTGTAGCCATGGGCACGGAGTCCACACTAACAGGGATTTTAAAATGGCGGCGCCTGGCAAGATGCAAATGAAGCCCGGGATATTTAAATCCCGGGCTTCATTTGCAACTTCAAATGACTACATTAACCACCTTAGTTTGAACTAGGGTGGTAGTGTAGACATACCCTATGACTGAGCAGTAGATTAGAACAATTACCTCCTGACTCGTACATATCAGTGTCTACTTCTGGGTCCCACGTTTAGGAAAGATGTGGATAAACTAGAAACAGTCTGGAGGCTAGCAACAAACATGGATACATTGTTTAGAAAACTGGACCTATGATGAAAGAAAAGACAGAGAAAAGAAACCTGATAACAGTCTGCAAATATATCAAGTATGAATTTTAAGGACTAATCGACTAGTTGACTATTTGATAAGCAAATGCGTATCGGATAGTCAACAGGATAGTCAACTAGTCACTTCCCCACCCTATCAGATAGAGGCAGCAAGTGAGGAAGACAAGAGAGGGGTACCTCAAAGTGGCAGTGCTGCATGGAACCCAGAGTCAGCTGGGGAGTCCCCAGCTGATCCCAGGCTCAAAGCATCACCATGGCACAAAGCCTGGGATCAGCTGGGCAGACCCCAACTGACCCCAAGCTCCCTGTGGCGCTGCCACTTAGAAACTCCACAGCAGCATTTCAAAAGGGCAGCACTGCGTGGAGCCTGGGGTCAGCTGGGGGCTCAAAGTGGCAGCGTGGCACGGAGTCTGGAATCAGCTGGGGGCTCCCCAGTTGACCCCGGGCTCCATATGGCACTGCCATTTTGAAATGCCGCTGCGGTGTTTCAAAGGGGCAGCGCTGCACGAAGGCCAGGGTTAGCTGGGGAGTCCCCAGCTAATCCCAGGCTCCAAGCTCCAAGCAGTTCTGCAGCTTTGAAATGCTGTGAGGAGCCTGATGCGAGCTCCTTGCGGCATTTCAAAGTGGCAACACTGCATGGAGCCCGGGGTCAACTGAGGACTGTAGTTGGGCTCCATGCAGCACTGCCCCTTTGAAACACTGCGGCGGTGTTTCAAAGGGGAAGTGTCTTCCTATCAACTAATCAAATAGTTGATGCAAAAATACATTGACTATTCGATTAGTCAGTTACATGCCACTTAACATCCGTTTGCAACTCGAGGACCGGCTGTATATGACTATCAGGAGAACTTGAAAAATCCATTTTGTGTGGGCTAACTGAAAATTTTTCCCAGGCAAATTCTGCTAGCTTCTACAGAATTAAAGCTTTTATTCAAAACAACCAAACAGATATTTCTAGCTTTTTGAATACAATTCTGCAAATGTGAATTGAGTTTAAACAGATGCAGTGCTGTCTACTTAAGTCTGCTGACAGACACGTGCAGTGCTCTTATAACAACAAAGTGAAAACTGCTAGTTAGTTTTCTCTGTTGCTGTTCAAAACTCTGTGGGTACTGTGAAATTAACAAGAATCCAATATATTTGACTCTGCTGTTACTGCTTGGAAAAGCTAGGAGCAGTAGACAGGCAATTGGAATGATAACCTTTTCATGAGCGAGAAAGAGTAGAAAGATCCCCATTAAAGCAACCCAGGGAATGTAGCACAAGACAAGGAACAGAAGAGAGAAAAGAGACAGGAGAAGGGAGATTCCAATTTATCTGGCACGTTAAATGTTAGTCGAAGGCTGATATTAATGATAGAGCTCCTAAGTAGAGTCCTAGAACAGCCTCTTCATATGAACCCGAGCAGCTCTCACTTTACCAGCTGCTGGGGAGTGATGAATTGATACCACACCTGAGGCCTGAGCACCAAGCAGTGATTTTGCATCAGTTTCTGTTTGCGACGTGTCTGGTAAAATTTGTGTGTGGCGCACAGGAGAGTGGGAGGAAGAGAATAAAAGCAACAGATGTTGAACCAAAATAAGTCAGAAAAAGTATGAGGAGGAGACAGAGATGCAATGGGAGGAAAGTGAGGAAATAGCCATGGAAGACAACACAAGAAAGGATATCCTGTGATTATGCAACAGGAGAAAATAGAATGAAGTCTATTAAAGACACAATTGCAAGAGCTAAAATAAGTAATCTTATTAAAATGTATAAACAAAAAGATGATTGTTCCAATTAAATAAAACCACTGCTGATTTGTTTAAATTTGCAAGGGGAGTGGCAAAGGTTTGTACATACAGCTGCAAAGGTATTTTCTGCCCTCCCTCACAGATATTGGGTAAATATTTCAGGCCCTAGCCAAAATCCACTTACTGCATCAGTTACCCTAAGGATCCAGAGACAGTCATTCATTTCCCAGGGAACAGATGTAGCGCTTGTCTTGATATTATCAACTCCAATTAGAAATTAATTATCACTAACTTGTCTCCAGATCTGTTACTATTTAGGCAGAAGCTTTCACATAACTTATGACAGTGTGGCTTAAAGTGCAGCCCCACACTCACAAATACACAAAGTAACTAGAGATGAAGTTCTGCGTATTTGGGAAAGAGCAAGAAAATACTGGAAGATCCTCAGCTTGTGTTTTCTTACTATACTTTTCAGGGGGAAAAAAGTACATGAAAGCTAAAGGGAGAAAAATGACCCTGCACACTTTACAGAAAAGGCAAGCAGAAGGAAGGCAGATTTTAAGGAAAGAACAAAATGTGATGGAGTATTCTGGCCATTCAGTGTTCAGAGAGCAAACACTTCTGGTTCCTATAAGCAAAACACATTGCTCCTATGTGTACCACACAAATGTGTCCAGGATCAGCAGGAGTTAAAAAGCTGGGATGCTTGGCAGGTGACCCTTTGACCCCAGCAGGAAGTATGTAACCTTCTGACCTTTCCTAAGAAGGGGGCTGGAAAGTCACAGAGGCAGGACAGATAGCTTAAGAACTCTTGCCCAAAGCAGGAGAGGAGGAAGATTTACCTTGATCTGGTCTGTTGTATTTTCCTTTGCTTGCTATATTATGATGACTAAGAGGCAACTAGCAGGGTTGTGCTGTGCTAAAGGCCAAATATAGCATCCCTGGAAAATGAAACTTAGCACATAACACGGGAACGTGTCTTGTGTCAGTGTAGAGTGGGGAGCTTTCCTGCCCATTCCATGAAGAGTAGGAATGGGGACACACACACACACACACACACACACACACACACACACACACACACACACACACAGTAATTGCATGTGTGCTATAGCCAATCATCCAAGTTGTAGTGTGAATTTTTGAGGGATAGTACCTCTGGACATGTCTAGACTACACACTTCTTTCGAAAAAGATGGTCTAGACAGCCACAATTTTTTTTGAAAAAGCGATCCACTTTTTTGAAAGAGAGCATCCAGGCAATCTGGATGCTGTCTTTCGAAAAAGCCCTGTTTGCTGTCAAGAATGCCTTTTTTCGAAAGAGCTCTTTTGAAAAAAGGCATTTTTCCTCGTAAAATGAGGTTTACCGCTGTTGAAAAAAACGCTGCTTTCTTTCCATTTAATTTTGAAAGAATGGGGCGGCAGTCTAGAAGCAGGTGAAGTTTTTTCAAAAAAAGGCCACTTTTTTTTCGAAAAAACCCTGTAGTCTAGACGTAGCCTCTGTGTTCCTAAAAGACTGAGCTATAGCTCCAATACCAGTATGATTCATGCCTTATAAATACGTAATTTTTGGCTCACATTAGACGTAAAATTCCACCATATTAATATTTAGATTTCCAAATGGTGCTTTTACAATTTCTTACATATGGTTGTACATATTATAGGATTTTTATCCTGCACTCATCTTTAATTTCCTTTTTGACTATGCTCAA